AAAGCTCCAAAACTTTAAACAGCAGGATTTCATGAAAAGGGAATTCCTTTTCCCCAACTGAGGGTCAAATTCTGTTCTTTGTCACCTTGGTGAGATATACATGTCTTCTTGTCTTTTTTTGTAAGTGCAACTCAGCAACCATAAAAAAATGTGTATTTGATGATCTTGTACACATATATAAATTCCAAACAGACAGGCATCATGTCCATGACTTTTTCATTGCTACTTGAGTTTGACAACTATAGATCATACATAGCAAATTCTAAGCTACGTATCTTCACTGCTCTCCACTCTATGCAGTTCACCACATGTAAAAGACCATCATACAGTCTAGGAAATGGAGCTGTGCTGATTTTGTAACAGCAAAATATCTGGTCATCTAAGACTCAGACCTCTGTCTGAGTACATATGACACTGCAAAGAGGTTTAGTGATGCACTGGGTAAAACTGATGGTCTGTCTTGCCCACGGCTTGTCTCGCCCAGGGGCTCTAGTCCAGGTCAAACACCTGTGATACTTCCCCTTAATAGTCTCCTCAGCACTATACATTTTCAGCTGAGGGACTTCCCTAGCTGGATTTCTGTGAAGGTAATAAGTCAGTGTCTTTTCTTCTGTTAGTTAATCCAAAGACTCTTTAAAATCAAGTATTCAGCACCTACAGAATTCTTTTAGGAGGACAGCTACAGATCTGCTGTAATATAGTGGATACAGAGCAGGAAAAAAACGCAGAAAATATCATGCTGGCTTTCCTAAAGTATGGTGTGGATTCCCCAGCGTATTATATGCCATGTAGACAAGAGACTATCTCATCCCCAGAGCACTAGAATAAGATTAGAGAACAAGAAGGATGCAGATCAGAAATGAACACTTTAATTCATAATTATGTATAGGGAGAGTGTGCAGAAAGGCTGAAAAGAGTGCATTTTTCTGTATTGCTTACAGCTCCCAGATGAGACATTTGATAAAATTACTGTTACTAGACCATGGAATTTGCTGGAATTAGCAAAGAGGATTAAAAATCTACCTGAAGTTATCAGATGATAATAACTTTGGCAGGAATATTAAGCCTTTAATTCCAAGACTAAAACTAATCACTTGCCTACTCCAATTCATACCTTTCCATGATGTAATGGAGAAGTTATTTCACATCAACGAGGTTCTCACAGCTTCTTCAGAAGCACTAATTTCTCTGGCAGCTACTATCAGCTTCTCTCAAACAATGGGCTCTATAAATTTTGTTTGCTTATTTGTTTGTTTTTATTATTAAAGCCTTCTAAAGATGCTTAGGCTGGATATTAGGAAAAAGCTCTCTGGCACTGGCATAGGCTGCCCAGTGAGGTCATGGTGTCACTATCTCTGCAGAACTGTGGAGATGCAGCATTGAGGGATGTGGTTATTGGCCATGGGGGTGATGGGTTGATGGTAGGACTGGGTGATTGTAGAGGTCTTTTCCAACCTTAATGATTCTAGATTCTAAGCTGCATTTTAAATATTTTAAAAATATTGCAAAAGAGTTTTCAGATACATGCATTTAAAATTTTGGCAAAAAATCTTATGAAGTGAAAATGCCAAAACTCCCCCAGCTACTTTGCATTCATTACCAGCAGTGCAGAAGGTACTTCTCCATTAACTCTCAAATCAGAAACATGTCTTGTAGTTATTCAAAATCAATATAAAGAATCCACATTTTCATGTCACTATATATAACCTATGCTGCAGGATAACAATCCGGAAAACCTATTTAAAGACTATGAGTGTACTATTGCTATTAGTACCTTCCTGCAGTTTTGAAAATTAAATTTGTGGCTACATTTACAAAAATATTTTTGAAACCAACAGCAGAGGAAAAACCACCTGAACACTGTGTTCTTGGATTTGCTAATTTTGCTATTCCATGGCATGTTAAGTGCTTGGGACAAAGCACATCCTGGTGTATCCTTAATGATAATGAGTAGCAGTGATAACAATCCCACTTGGATTAACCATGGGATAGTGCAGCCAGCAGACCAGGGGCTGAAATGAAGAATCTTGTTTCCCAAACAGGAGCTGTAAACTAAATTCACCTCCACTGAACTCCTCTTAACCCTGGTCACAGATAGACAACAGGCACAGTGTTTGAGATCAAGAATGCTTTTACTGCTATATCAATTAAAGCTGTTTCCCAGCAAATTCAACTATCCACCTATGTATGTTTGTTGTTTTTTTTTTTTTTTTTGAAACAGTACCTCCCTACTTTCTCTCCCAGGGAATTATTTCATGGTCTAGAAGAGCAGATCTGCTACATCTTTTTGCAAATATCTTGCCATGTTCCCATTTGTATATATAAAGCATATGTATTTTAACAGTATAAATATAAACTTCTACTTTGTGAAGAGTAAGCGGATGGAAATTACAAGGAAGATAAATTTAGCAGAATGTATTGTTCAGCTTTATTATGGAGCATTATAAAGGCTTTGCACTGTGAAGCACAAAAGCATTAATTTCTTTGCATTGATGGAGCTGCATCTTATTTACAGAGATGTAAAGGAAAAAGAAAGTTAGCATTGGTTTCTACTGCAAGTATGAAAAATTAAGCCATGTCCTGTTATGATGTAAATCAGCCTAAGTACAGATTTAGACCAATATGCAGCATCTGCAGAGCTATCTGAAGAGCATTTTTTCCCCCATGCCTTTTAAATAAACAATTATTCTAAGACTTGAAGTTGCACTAAAAAGGTGCATTTATCTTCATTCTGAACTGTATCTAATAGCCTATTCCTCTTAATCATATTACAGGAAGACATACGAAGTTGAACCGTACCATTAATCACAACTAGGCACACAGTGTGCTAGTACAGAAGTTTTATTGCTCAGTCTAAGCTGGCATGTAATGCAAATAATTTTGACAACTTGAAAATATACTTATTTGATCAATTAAAAGCTTACTGCCAGTGCAATCTCATGATAAGTATTGATATAAGACTGATTAAATAGGAGTCATTTTTGCTTAAGTGAATATTTTCAGTTTTTTGCAGGAAAGGCATTTAGTGCCTTTAGCATCAGATCATACAAAGTTAATTGTGATATCGAAGCTACCAATATACAGAAAAATGTCTGCGTGCAGAGAGCATCTGTTTGACTGATGGAAGTCTGCTCATTGTCTCTCCTTCATTTCAGAGCAAGCAGAAGAGAGAATGAGATTTCCTGAATCACTGATTCAATTAAAAGCTTCAAGAGCCCTAGAAGGTGCTTTCTCTCCCCTCTGTTCTTGCTTTTCTTTCCTTTGACAAGATGCTGAGGAGAGGATATACCTTAGAAATAGTCTTTAATTTGAGGACTCAGAAAGCTACTAGTTAGCTTCTCAGCATTTTTCTCATAGTCTATATCGTGCATTAGGCACATGAACACGAAGCATGAGTGTGTTAATAAATACCAGTGCAAGAGATACAGAATTGTGCATGTGAACCAGAACTATGATTACTCAGTGAGTGATGCATGCAAATCACAAAGATAGAAAAACAGTTATTTTAGTTCACCTAGAAAATGGATTTGGGCTATTGACAAGGATTAAGTATTGATTTCAATATAAATTCAGACTACCAGATTTAGAAGTGCTCAAATTTAGTGGTTTACACTGGGATAATTTGAAGGCCAAAGTAAAAAATCATATTTAGTAAGCAAAACTAATTTCTCTGTCATTTTTTAGTATTAATGAAATATGAAGAAAATGAAGGTCCTGCCATTCACAGATTAGAAACTGAAAAGAGTTCTTGGATTTTTCAGTGTGAGTCTATTTCGCTAGCAAAGTAGACATAATAAAAAATCAAAGAGTATAGCTGATACAAAAATAAATCCATCATCTTTACCCTTTTAATGGGACATAATGAGCAGGTCGTACTGTGGAAGTAGAAAGCTAGATGTTGTTGGCACCAATTTGTAGTCCAGTGGTTTTCATCAAATGCTTCACTTTCTAAAATGTGATGATCAGAGAACATAAGAAATGCCGTATATGAAGCAATTTTCTATTATAATGTCACATGCTTTGAGGCAATCCTGTTGCCTACTGTCCCTCCATTATGAATAGAGTCTCTGAGCTCATTAGCCTCTGGATTTCTATAGGATAATCGCATTAAGGATATTTCCATTCCACGAAACAATTGTTGTATTCTAGTTGTCTAAATCAACATTTAAGTACCTCTCTTTGATTGACTTACAGTGGTGCTGGATAATGTACCTTCCCTGGTGCAGCCATGTGCTATCCAGGAGGCAGACCCCCAGTCCGGGGGGAAATGAGAGCATGTGGCTGAGTGCTTTGTTGGATATTGGCCATGAGTGAGAAAATGAAAAAAGGGTGTTTTGTTTCTCCCTTTGGTGAGGATCATATGTAATGGTCAATGATTTTCAAAAATTCATAGCTCTGTGCTATGCTGGATGAGCAAGCAGTGTCTAGTTATAAAGATACGCTATTCATATCCTGCCACAAGAACAGGGCTAGAGAGAATAATGCACAATATTATACAAGAAAACTAGTAAGTAAATGAAGTCTAAAGGTTGAACTGTTGATAAATTTGAGCTCTGTGATTATGTCTCCCATTACACAAAAAAATCTGTCAAATAGATTCAGTATCTGATTAGTATCTGTGAACTGACGTCCTGGTCTGAAGTTGCTAATTCAGCCTAACTTCTGGTTGCTCTGAAAATAGATTTGACAAGGACAAAGGGATTAATTTGCTTCCGGTGTTACACTTGTGCAGACCTGTCAGTTCCATTGGTCTAACAGGTTAGTGGTGCCATAATCAGGTTTTGAGGCTGGAAAATACAATAGATCCATGTTTCAGGAGTGTACGGGAAGTAGAGTCACAGCCTGAACCACTGATTGATCACCTGAAGCAAGGACTGAGTCAGCTGTGAGAGCGCAGGGGAAGGCAATTCAGCTGTGTGACCGGAAGGGGTGGAGCCTGGCTGCACCTCTCCTAGACCCCATTTAAGGGCTGACTGCCACTGAGGAGGGATCGTTTTTTGGAGATTCCTCCTTTTGGAGTTTTCTACTGTGAGCCTATGACACAGGTGAGCATTTTGTTTTTGATTGTCTCTTTCCACTATATTAATCTTTCTAATAGTAAACCTGTAAAATAACCATCCTTACTACTCCGCTCTTCTAACTGTACATTTATTAATTGTATAGAAGTAATAGAACAAGTGTATTTTTCAAGGACTGAAGATCAGGAGTTCATTTTTGCAGAACAGAGATATGTTTGTGCTACAGACTACCAGCAATGCATAGCAGAGGGTTTCTGTGTGTGAATAAAGGAATCTGTGTAACACAGCTGAGAAAAGCCTTTTGTTTAGGTACTAAATTTGCCTCTAGAGAAGGAAAGAGGATGTATTGCTTTTGGAAAATTTTAAGGTGTTTATAAGTTATGTAATGCTGAAAGCCACTGGCTCAAACTCAATGCGAGTTGGTTTAGGAACCTGAGGCAATCTACTCATGGTAATGCAGAGCTTTCCCTTATTGTACATCAGGAAAAAATAGTCACTGGGTGAACTAGATTAACTGAAATTCACTTAGAAGGAGAAAGGACTCTACTTGAAATAGTTTAAAAAAAAAAAAATTAAAAAAAAAAGGCAAAACTATGGGGGAATCTGTGCTTCCTGATGGCAAATTGAATATTTTACATGTAGAAACTGTCATAGTTTCTTTGACTTTAATAAGCAAGGATGATCACTGTGTGTAAAGTATATTCTAGTTAAAAAACAAAAAAAATGCTGTATTTCCCAGGGCTTCAGATTTTCAGTCTTTCCCCTCCACAAATCAGTCTTTTGAACTGCAGATTAATTATTGTTTATTGGCTGGAAGAGCAGTAATACAGCATGTTTGAAAACATAACAGAAAAACTGGGGGCTTTTGCAGGAGCAAAGTAACCGTCTCCAACATCCCCAGGGAAGATCTACATAAGAGGTGAGGTAAGAATCAAATCCTTGTCCTGTGGGTGAGGCAGAATTGAAGGAGACAATGCAAAATGCAAAAGTTTGGCTTTCCTCACACCTCAACTGAGATCTGAAGACCTCTGCTATCTCTCACTGGGAGGCTTTAGCAGTGTCACACCAACGAGAGCTCCTCTGAGTCGTGACTCCCTGCATGCCTTGGGAAAACTGCCTGACTGCACTCTTGTTTATTTGGAGCCTGGCTTGCTTTTGTGAAGGAGATGGGTTTTAAAAAAAAAAAATATATGAGAAATGAGCTTTGAATGGAGGCCAGCAAACATCCTGAACTAATTCACTCCAAAAAGCCAGTGCTTCGGGGGGGGGGGGAGGTAAATCTATTCATAGCCTTTAGCAAACATTTTAAACAACTAGCAAAATTCAATCTGTTTTCGGATTCATATTCTCCTGTCCTTCCTACTTGTGTTCTGTACTTCTTTAATGCAATTGGCCACATCACCCTGAACTTGCACCTGATATATCTCAAAATGGGTTTCTGATGTTCCTAATGATGTAAATGAGATGGAAAGGAGAGCTCTAAGAGCCAAAAGCCACTCGTGACACTTGTGGGTAGTTCTGTTGCGTGTTGCAGTGATAGTTCTTTTCTATGGCCACTTGAGGGAGCTGCTAGGAAGAGTGTGAAAGAGCTGGGTTGGGTTTGACACTACAAAGACATAGCGGATGAGAAGACATTTCCTTTAGGATCCCACCTTTTGAAATTTTACAGATATGTATGATTTTTACACTACTCTACATCCATTCGAATTTCTCCAAAGTTGCATTTTTTTACCTGTATCATTCTGAATTACATCATCGCATGTGGATCTATTTTACAAAACTTATGTAATGCTGATAGCAGGTTTGGTTGTTATTGGAAGTGAAGCCACTGTTTCAAATATCTGAGCAAATTACGCTGAGGGGCTGACCCTTCTGGCTGCAAAAATGTGAGATTTGTAATAGTATATGGTAAAGGAATTCTTTTAAACTTTCTTGCCATGCTATTCCACTTGCAAAAAGTAATCTCACCATATAATTTAAACATTAAACCATTCAGCATAACCTAAATCTGTGTAGTTTGCTTGTCAATCAGGATGACTGCATACTCCAGTAGAAGTTTTAGATATCATAGCAAAAACTACCCTTTGGATCATTGAAGCTTGGAAAATTGTTACCAAGTAGTGTGTAGGGCTCCAATTCTGAGGCAAATCTGTTTGTGCCGTGAGGCACTGAACCCAAGGGCATAAGAACTTTGCTATGTGGTCTGATCAAAAGGCAGATTATTCAGAATCTGGACAAAACTTGGGCCCAAGCACTCACATGATCAACGAATTGGGTGAAACGAGTCTGTGGGAAGAAGAATTTCTTGATATTTTCAGCTTTTTCCATCTGAGTTCCCAAACGTTATTATTTTTGCCTGCGGAATCTCAGTGAAACTGCATTTAGCTGTTGGTGCTGGTAGAGATCTGTGTTCTTGATCTCATAATATGCCTCTTTCTGCCACATTAAATTGAACCCTGTGAGCTGTCAACCCACTGCAGAGCTAACCACCCAAGGAATCCGAGAGGTCTTTCTGATGTGTCAGATTTTGTTGTCCTTGTCCTTCACAATATCAATCTTTAAGAATGTCAGTCTCTCAGAAGAAATGCTATTTAATAAATATTCATACAATCCATACAAGTTTAGATTTCATTTATTGCTTTTCTTTTTTAATCTCTCTGCAACTTTTCAGACTTTCTTCAGCTTTTGAAATGTAAGTTGACAAAAAAATGCCAAGTCTGATTTCCAAACCTCTCCAACAGTGTCTAATTTTGCACTGGAGAAAGGGAACTTTATAATTCAGTGTAAAAAAAAAAAAAAAAAAAAAAAAAAAAAAAAAAAAAAAAAAAAAAAATCTGGAAAATTATAAATTTCTAAATTAAAATCTTCAAAATATCAAAAACAATGTGCTTTTCATTGAAATCCAAAAGAATGGAAGATTACAGAGGGGACAAAACTGCTGTCAACTGTTCTTTCTGTAGGTCTCTTCAGAAATTCTCAAAAAGACATTTTTCCTATGAAGGATTTGATGAAAATTCATTTTTGACACATTACATCTTTTTATTCCTGTTTTGTTCAACAGACATTTTCTAGATGTGTCCATTTGCTGCGGCACCTGATTTTAGAATTATATCAGCTTGTGAGCCTCCGAACAGAAACTTGGCAGAGAAGATGGTGTTTTTCAGCAGCCAGAAATATTTGTTTCCCCTTACACAATTTTCCCGGGTGGACTGAATCCACCACTACACCCTATTTTCTACCCTCCAAGAGGCCCAGGACAGAACTGAGAAAACTCACATGTATGCAATGGGGTCATGCAATAGCTAGGGGAGCTCTGGGTGTAGACTGAAGGAAGAGATGAGCAGAAACTGAACTACAGCTTTTCTGAGGCACTTCAGCAGCAATCCTTCATGAAAGCATAAGCTGTTTTGAGCTGTGGCTTTCTGGTTGTGGATCTAGTTTTTTTTTTTTTTTTTTTTGGTTTTTTTTTTTAGTTATTATTTTATTATTTTTGTGCAAGGGAAATACCTTTGTGTGCTAAGCAAGCATTGAAAAAAAATAATAGGTGCAATTCTTATGACAGGTAGCTGTAATTCTTTTTTTCTGTAAACACGTTCCAGTAATGTTTACAAATGCTCCTAACTCACGCTTGGATATGTATGAAAATTAATATAAAACACTGCTATGATTGGAAATAAGAAAGTCACCTGCTGGCTGTTTTTGCACATCCGTGGGGCAACCTGATCTGGTGCCTGGTTTAGTGGTCAGCAAACCTGCCCATGGCAGGGGGTTGGAACTCAATGATCTTTGAGCTCCCTTCCAGCCTAAGCTATTCTATGGTTCGTATGGGAGAGGCCAGTGCTGACCTAGTGTCAAGACCAGCACCTGTGCACACTGTAGGCATGGTCATGGTGGGTAAACACTAAGCTCTGATCCTTGCTGTCCACGTTCTGTGGATAAATGAGGGATTTCGCACTCAACAGTCATCAAACCACAGGTATTATAGACATTTAACTTACTGTACTTCTTGTGATTTCTGCATTGCTTCTCTGTGGGGTATGCTTGGGCTTAATTAATACACCAGAGGATGTTTTGTTCTTCAGAAAATATGAGTCTGTTAGCATTTCTAAGAGCTCTGACACTGTGGAGATGTGAGTCACATCAGTGAAAGCTGCCTGAGGCTACATTTAACCTTGTGCACTCAAGCTGAAAAATAATTAATAAAATATTCCCAAGTGTCATGTTTTTCCCTCCCCCCAAATCAACATCTTAATTACAACGGAGTAGGTATGGAGAAAGCTACTCTATTTGTGGAGTTATCTTGCCTTTCTTTGTGACCTTTCTCACTGAAAAACGCTTGTAGTCTCAGTGAAATATCAGTAGTGAAAACACCAAATTAATTTCAGTACCTGTTTACATAAGAACTCTATCCTCTAAGCAGCGATCTTAGGGGGATTGCACCTTTCTCTGTATACAGTGCCTGACATATGTAGGACCCTGGCCCCAGGTGGAGCCTTAGGCACTGTAGTAATACAGATAGAAATGTTGATAACAATATGCTTACTAGCTCCTTATGGAGTGTATTCAGGCTGGATAAATTCTACCCAAGATCCTATGTCTAGTAAAAGGATAGAGCTAATCATCTGTAAAAGTGACTCGAAGAGTCTAAGTGAGATGACAGAAAGGAAATACTAGGCATGAAAGCAGAGGTTGAATTGTAACTCCTTCATTCAGTCATTACTCTTGCAAGAGGAAAAAAATCAAAATTTAAGAAGAAATTAGTATAAACTAAGAACATGGGACAAAAGACAGAATTTTTTTTGTTCAAACACTTAGAGAAATTATGATATTTGTGCAATCATCAAGTTTACTGTGTAATCACGATTTCTACAAAGGATCAGTGAAAGACCTTGTTATTTCTGTTTAAAAAAAAACACCACTTTTCTGCCTCCAATACAAAGGAGAGAGGAAAAAAAAAAAGTAGTATAATCTGTCTCTAACTTCTCTCTTTTAGTAGAACTGTTTGGAAAATTGTTATTAAGAAAGTAAAGCTAAAATACAGTTTAATTGGACAAAGATGTTAAAAAGTCTTTTTTTTCCATTATAAAATTGCTCATATAAAGGTACATTCTGATGAATTTTTCAATTTAGAAAGATAGATTATGAAATAAATTTAAAAAAAAAAAAAAGCATTGAAAGGCAATGCTTTACTACTGAAATCATAATTCAGGGGTATGCAATACTGAAATATTATTTCCTATTTGAAATTACCAATGGCATTTGCTGATGACTAAAATGTGCCTTCCCCCATGGAACATCTTGTATTTTATGAAGTTAGTCTGACATTTGGTGCACTCGAATTTTCTTTCTATGATCTCTATATTAGATTCCCAGGTATGGAATCTCATCATTTGCTTGAAAGAGCCAAGAAAGGTTATCCAAACCTCTAAATGAGGTCTCTGTAACTCTTCATGGATTACCTGAAGGCTCATTCTAAATCCTCACTTAGATTAGATTGCTGAGGTGACATGATGTCAATACTTTCCAGAGTTCAACTACGAAGCAGATATTTTGTTCTAAGTGTCAAGCAATTTCAGCCTAGCAAGGGGAGATGCCCTGATTTGTTAGAGGAAGGTGGTTGAGCTAATAGTGAATAGCAGCTATCATTAATACTCACAAAAGTAAAATGGACTGCTTTAATTTGTATGCCATCTCACCACGTGATGTCAGAAACAGGGTTTGTGTTAACATAGTGGTTAACATAAATAGAGGAGCAAAACAGGATTGGAAAGGCTATACAGTAAAATAAGCTAGAGTGAAAACCTGAATGCAACCATGGGAGACTCTTAGCAGATTTACAAACCTGAATTTCCCCTTTATCCTGTAATTCTTTTTCTTGAAGAAATCCTGAGGGATTTCATCCTGATTAGGAGTAATGGAGATCAGAGGTTAAGACTTTTTGGAAAAAATATTTGTAGTTTGACAGCCTTTGGTTTTAGACATGACGTGGCATAAATAACAGAAAAATTTTCTGGAGCAGAAAAGTCTTCTTAAGAGTGCTGGGAGGATATTCAATACAGCTCTGTGCTTGCATTGATGTATTCTTCCATGGCCATGGGCTGTTGTCCAGTTTTGGAGGAACATGGGGACTTTGGCCCTACCAAATACCAGGACTATTCCTATACTTTTGATGCAGAGGGAGGGGAAAATTCAACCCAAGAGATCAAGGGCTGTAATTCAGTCAAATCTACTTCATACCCCACTGTTTGCATTTCATGATTTCTTTATTTTGCAGAGATTTAGGCAGAGATCTGAGAATGTTTCCATTAGACAAAGTATTGAAAGTGCCTATTTAGAGAAGTTACTGCTTGTGCATGGAGTAAGGGGATGCATTACCAGCAAGTAGCAGAAGGGGAAAGAGAAAAGCATGGAAGAGCTCTAGATTTGCTGTTGGGGTAAAGATAAAGGATAGGAAGAAAAATGAGTGAGAGCAGAAGTGAAAGCAGGTCATGATCATTAAAAACAACTGAAGTTGTGATTATTCTAGACAACACCAGAATGGTTTTAGCTACTACTGAATCCCAGAGATGTATCCTGGACAGTGGTGAATGTCATGTGTCTCTATGGTTGAAGCAATAAACAACAAATCTGACAAGTGCTGTATAGCTTATCCTCTATTTGTGGTGGAACAAATAAAAGCAGAGTGGTGCCTAAGGGTCTGGGTTTGAAGGGAAAGTTGTTGAGTACAAAAATCAGCATCCTTAGGAAGATAAAAGCAGGACTGAGAAATTCAGGACTGCTGAAGAATACTTAACCGGTGAAAAGAAGTGGATATTTAAGCTAAGTTCACCTTCCTTATTTCTCTTCAATTACCAAAGAAAACAAATACTAAAAAGAGGTCTGTCTTTTTCATGTTATAGTAAAAGGCATTGTGGAGTGTTTCCCATTAGGAGGAGCTGAGAGAAAAGCACTGGTACCACAAAGAAAGCATTATCCACCACTGAAACTTAACTGAAAGATACGTAGTCTTAAGTCTGCAGTTGAATTTGCAGAGATTTTCCAAATGACTCTAGATACATGTGGTGGAAAATATGTTGCCAACACAAGGGGCAGGATTCTCTTGACTATAAAAGGAGTGGGGAGAATCAGCTCAAATGCAGATACTCTGTTGGCATGTGAAATTGGTCCAATGAAGCCTGACCTCTGTGTTTTGAAATAACAGTTATTATGTGTGAGGTCTCCAGGCTACTAAGCCTGGACTCTGTTTGTGCTTGTTGTGGTTTCCATATGCCTCAGGCTCACATGTATAACCTTTCCTCTGCCCCAGGTGGGGAATCTCATGCAAAATAAAAATCAGTCTTTTGTAATCACCTGAGGCCAAGAGATGGAGAAAGTATAAAAACCCTTTGCTCAGCCAAATGTTGAGAGCCTGCATTGTGGCCACAAGACCTAACAGTGCTGAAATTCTGGCTTTGTTTCACTTCCCCTCTACTGCATATTCTCTCAACTCCCAAGCTTCATTCAGAGGTAACCTTAGGAGCAGCTGCATCTTACACGAGTGAATAAGAATGGCATGTTGTCTTGTTCTCTCTCTTTCCCAACCCTATCTTCCACTGATTTATGAGTCCCCTGAGTTTTGATGACAAGATGTTTTTTTCCCCGTGCTTCTCTGAAGGGGCATTTCTCATCCGTAGATCACTGTTGAAATTGACACATGCCTCTTGAGAGTTAGGTTTGGGTGTTTTCTTGCTCGTATTTATTCTTGTTTACAAATTATTCTGAAATAAACAGTACTCATGCATAAGTTTATTGACATGATTTTCATATTTTTTGTTTGTTTGTTTTCCCACTTCTGTGAAGTGTTTTGTCGTGTTCTTGATGGGTATTGGTTGAGGTATGAGTCATAAAAACAAAACAGTATAAGTGCATTCTTCAGTGCTTTCAAACAGATCACACATAATAGAGCAATAATGCATTATGTCGCGTGTTGTTCCATAGACCAATTACCTAATCAGATAATGTCAGAGAAGCAAACTTATAGCAGACATTAATTATCAATGCATGGACTGGTAGCAGATGGCAGAATTTGCAGTAGAGAATAAGCTGATGGTGTTCAGTGGATTAATTAAAGCTTAGAGAATTTCATGCCCTCTGCTCAAAACCCAGTGTAAACTATTTTATTTTTTTTAGAAGAGAAAAACAATATTTAGCCATGTTTCTTTAACTAATCAGATTTTTCTGCAAATAGTAACGGAGTGAAAGGAAGAAAGGAATACTCAGTCTTACTGAAATAACTCCGGTGGTTGCCGTGTGCCTCAGGAGCATTCAGTTTGGGGTTAAAAAGAAATGAGTACTTGTTGTAAAGCACATCAGCAGTTCTGGGAATAGGGACTGTGCGTAAATATTGGGCTAAGGAATCCTGCTTCACTTTGCTTTGTCTTTTGGCCAAATTACTGGATGTCGTTTTCCCCTGCATCTGCTTCTGGGCTACACAAGAACACTGTGGCATCTATGAGATGTGAATTATCTCTGCACAAACAAATGGATACAACTTTCCCCTGGACAAAACTGAAGTTAA